CCCCCCCCCCTCCCCCTCTCCTCCTCCGTCTGTTTGTATGTCACATTGTCCGTTGATCATTTCCTTGTCCTCTTCGCTGTTGCGGTATGTCACTGCTGTGCCTGACCTACCCCATTCCTTTCTCTCCGGGATAACATGTTGGTGACCCCGCGCCCATCTGCAGCTACTCGCCACGACCCAACACGGAGGCGGCCCTGTGGGAGAATCAGGTCCGTTCGCTTGGGAGGGTTTGCCTAGGTGAAAGGAGTATATGCATATGTATTTTTTTTTCAAGATTGTTCAAGTTCACGCGTGCGGGAGGACAAGAATGGCACGCGGGCTGTGGAGAAGAGTGTTGCCGTGGCCTTCATTTTTTGTTTTCCGCTTGTTGTGAGGATAAGCTTGAGGAACGAAAAGAAGGATCCCACTTTCGTTCCTCCCGATTCCTCTGTGTTAGCTTTTCTCGTGGGACGATGACGTGGACCGGACCACCTCTAGAGAGCGGTTGGTGTGGGGCCTTGCTCAGGCTTGCCATACAAACCTACAAAGTTCGCTGAAGAACACGTACGTCACGCATGGCGCTTGGATGTGCGCCCTCCCGTTTCTCCCATCTTTCGATCCCCAAAGGATGAAGCAAGACTAGAAAAAACACTTATCCTCACGTGCTTTGTTGTAGACCTCGGTATGTACCATATCTCCAGAGTTTGTGCCTTATTTTCGAACTCCGATGTTGTTTTGTTTTTTTTTCGGCAGGTGCCGGAGGATGTGAAGGCAGACCGGCTGCAGAGGGTGATGCGTCTAGGCTGCACGCACGCGCAGGAGAGGAGCGATCGCTACATGGGCAGGGTAGAGGAGGTTCTCGTGGAGGAAAGAAACCCCAAGAACGCCGCTCAGGTATATATGAAACCCTCCCCGCTGCCAACAGCGTCCGTTTACTTCCTAGTTAATGGCAGCAGCCACACGGGTGCATGACACCCTACGGGGACAGCCTCCGTCGTACTTCAAATTCGTAGTGGCAGCAGCAGCTACCCTGCTTTGTGATTCTGCGGGCATTTACTACGAGAGAAAAATATGTTGTTGCTAGAACGTCGTGAGGTTCAGGGTGTGCGGAGATGTTCTGTGTCTGCTTTTTGGATCCTGTAGGGCATCGGTTACCATCTCCTCAGGGACGAACCGTTCCTTTGCCTAGAGAGAGCAAAGCTGAACAAGACGCAGGATTCCATAAGCGGGCGGCAAGGCTGGACAATAGGTAGATTGGTCGTTTGTTTTGCAGTTTCCACGGTGAGTCGTTCGTTGCAGTGTTGTAATTCAAGGTCTTTCTTCAACTTACGTTGAATCCAACGTTGATATGCTCCTAAGAGCGTCACAATACTGCCGTTCTAGAGCGTTTAACTGGATACGTCTTCTGCATCGCGGCACTCTTACAGCCGAGCCCTGAGCGCCCCCCCCCCCCCCCCCCCCCCCCCCCCCCCCCCCCCCCCCCCCCCCCC